TAACATAATTAAAAACATACTCATAGTCTAAAAGCTATCCAGCTTGACCAACTTTTTTCTCTTTTTAAAAATCAATAAATATTTTGAATAAATATATTCACAAAAAAGTTCTCATCCATATTACTATTATAATTTTTTTAGAAATGTATCTAATGCTGCAATCATAAAACTTTATTGTCATCAATGATTTTAAGAATAGTTTTTTTTTTTCAATCAATCGTTTTTTAAACATAAACTTAAAAAATAAAATAATATATATGTAGCACCAATTATATATTTAAAGTCGATTTATTAATGTCATCAAACTCGAAATATCAGTCAAACAAAAGCAAGATCGGAAACGTATGTGTTATAGAAGATCTCGAGATCTCCGTAAACTGTTACTCCCTTTGTCCCACATTAGTTGATCAGTATACTAAAAAAATTGTCTCATATTAGTTGATCACCTTACTAAATCAAGAAAGTATTAATTAAATTTTTCCTATATTACCCTTGCAATTAAATTCTTTTTGAAAGTGTTCACATTTCTTTGTAAAATTTGGAAATTTTACAAGGGGTGAATTAGTAAACTATTCTTCTTATTTATAATTTCTTAAGCACCATACTAAATGAAAAGCGATCAACTAATATGGAAAGGAGGGATTACTTAACTATGGTTATATAATATTTATAAATTCATAGGTCTTGTCTTAGATGTTAGACACCAAAACTTAACTCTTTCACTCCTCTAAACTGTTCTCTTCTCTGTATTTGGTTTCAAAATTTAAAAAAAAATGGTTCAATTCACTTGCCTTTTTTTCGTCAATCTTTCCTTTATTTCATTTCCTTCTAATTTGTAAACACAGCCTAAAACTTTTGTTTGTTTATTATTAATTACTTATGTCAAATACACGCACCATCCCAGTTTGCCATTAAAAATATAAACAACAAAATAGTACATTTTACTAATTAATTCTTTTATGTTCCCTTTAATGACTCTTTGATTAAGCCATTGACAAGTCTTAATTAATGAACAAAACTTTTGAGTCATCAAAACTAATACTTAGCTTGTTATTGTGACAAAGACTTAACTCTAAATGGAGCAAATGGACCAATAGAAGCTCAAAACTTGAAGTAGACTCTTGAAAAATTATATTTCCTTATAATGTAATTAAGGGACCCCTCTAGAATAAAGTCTCTCAACTTAAAAATTATTATTTCATCATTACTACCAAGTCATCTAGTGTAACAATTATGGTAAACTATATTCCAATATCAATAATTCAAGATGTGCCTGCAAGTATTTGCTTCTTTTTTCTATTGACATATACTCCAAATGTAGTTTTATTCCAGAGTAACTCAAATAACAAGTAATAGTATTGTATATTTACTATTTGAGAATACTACAAGAGTAAATATCACTTAACTTTTTAAAATAAATAAATTACATTGCTAAATTTTACACCTTCACTTATCATTGTATTATTTAGGGAAAAGGGTCTGAAAAATACTCCAACTTTGGCCGAAATTGTTGTTACGATACCAAATTTATGGAGGACCTTTTACCCCCTGCACTATTTAATAGTGTATTTTAAAGGTATATATATGCCCACGTGGACACATTACTATTTAAAATGATGCAATATTTATGATGTCCATGTAGACACATATATACCTTTAAAATACACTATTAAATAGTACAGGAGGGTAAAAGGTCATTTCCAAAGTTTGGTATCGTAACAGCAATTTCGACCAAAGTTGAAGTATTTTTCAGACCCTTTTCCCTATTATTTATATACTTGTAAAAATCATGATAGAAGTTTATTTTCTATGGATCCTTTTAATTGTTTTAAACTATTAATGTCTTTTTATAATTTTTGTGTTATTATACTATATATTACGACATAATAGATTAAATTTTAAAAATTCGTAAGGCTTACTCCCTGTGCTAAGTAAAACACCATGCCTCACATGCCCCTACCTTTTAAAACATTGATACTAACAAATCAGAATTTTATCTCCTCTCATACTACTCTCTAAAAATCACAACAATGTTCTGAAATTTGAATTTTCATTGGCCGTAGCCGCTACTCTTAGGGTGCACACAAGGTAAACCCTCCACTCTTATGCAATAGCTCGCAAACCACACAGGAGAAGTAACCCGCACTAGACAAGCCCGCGGCTCCTATGAATTTTAATTGGCAATGTAAAATCTTGGATGAATTGTGTCACAAAATCCATGCAACAACACAGTGAAAGTTTAAATTCCCCAAGGACAAAGATTACTCTATCAAAGCCCGTCTTTTTTTATTTCCCAAATTCTGCAATTTTCTAACAAATAAGTAACTTGAAGAATAAGGGATATCAATTTAGGGAAAGAAATGAGATAATAAAGAAGAGGGGTCATAGAAAGTGTAAAAAGTACAAGTGATTGGTAGAGTGGCAACTTCTTCTACAAGGAGAGAGGTATGATAGAGACATAACACCAAGTGAAAAAATTGTGAAAGTAATAAAATGTAATGAAATGAATGCATGATTTGTCTACAAGGCATATAGCAAATGTTTACAAGGATAGTGACCCTAACTTCACCCTTTGTCTAAGCAAACTAAGAACCCTTTTCTCTTAGTGTGTGTCTCTTATTTCTCACCCCCCCATTCGTTTTTACCTACCATGAACTTCACCTATTCCCTCTTTTCATCATGGGATGGCTTCAATCCCTCTTCTCTCCATTGAAGAAGCTTTGGTTTCGTCTTCACTCTGCTCCGAAGAAGAGTATGTCTTCTATTACTTCTAGTTATAATGTCTTCACTTCTATGTAGTAATTTTTCTTTTGTCAAAGAATTTGTATGTATAGTAAGATAACTAGTTCTCATTAGCACAGACGGATCCAGAATCTAGACGTTGTGAGTTTTGGGATATGTTACCTCCATTCTTGGTGTTTGCATGTATATAAGGTTCAGAAACATTAAATTATGTCAACTTTAGGAACTCATTGTTGGATCAGCCACTGCTCCTTCAATGTCAAAAGCTCACATCTATAGAATCAACATTTCCTTCTTGAATCAATCTCAAGCCTATTTTGATAGCTGAAATTCAACTGTTCTTGAATTGGAATAGTTTAATTAGCCATAGCCCTTTAATTGCTTAGGGGAATCGGCCATTTCTATTCTTTTACTAACTAATTGTGTACCGTATTCCATTCACCCTACGGTTGAGAATTAATGATTAGTTGAATCCTTTTGCATCCCTATATGTTTTCTTTTACAAAACTCTAGTCTTGCTCAAGAAAATGTAAACTTCTATTTGTTTATTCTTCATCTATTGATCTACAAAAATGTAACTTTTTCGCTTGTACTAAACTTACTTATTCTTGATGTTTCAGGAAGAGGGATATATATACTCTACGAGGATGTTAAATCTTGCCCTTGTGAAGATGTTCAAGTGCTTTGGTCCATACTAGTGGAGTCTCATCCACATTCTTTGCCACCACGAAAATGAGGGCCTTTACATAAGCACACACACAGAGGGGAGATTTAATTTACAGTCACATGTACATATATATCGCACCACTTTTGTCCCAACATAGGTTTTCTTTGTTCAAGTTTTCAATCTTTTGTGAGTGAGGTCCATCTGAAAAGTTTTTAAGTTATTGAAACGTATGTCTTTCTCTTGATTTGAGTTGTACATTCTTCAAAATGTGGTAAATATTTATAAGTAACTTTTTATGGGGGTTGAGCTAGTGAATAGGGGATTGATAAGGAAGAAAAAGAAATCATACATAATGGAATTGCAATATTAAATGCTCATAAGAGAATCAAACGTATATATTCCAAGAGGATAGAAAAGTTATTTTAAAGTAAAGTCTCATTATCTTATTTTCAATTTGTTGCCCTGTCAGTTTCAACAGTTGATGAGTCGACATACTTACTAGTATTATTAAATAAAGTTGACTTAAGGGCTAAAGTAAGGATGTTATATTGAGATGTGATTGCCATTTCGACATACTTCTTGATACTTTTGACTTAACAATTATACTCTATTGACTAAGGACAAGTCTGCAACCACCAAACAGTTTTATCATTAAACAATAAACACATGGTAAACCACACCATTTATTATTTGATTCCAGAATTGATCTCCTTAAAAACAGGCAACTTATATTTACTTCTCCTTTACGTGTGAAACTTAAAAACAGGGCAACGTTACAAATTTTATGATCTTAGTAAATGTCTATGAAACATAATAGAGGATATCTTGCAGAAAATGAAACAAAGATACATCTGAATTCTAACCAGGGAGAGGATGCCCACATTGAAATGACATGCAAATGCACAATTCCATTCCGTGCAGACTCATTTAGGTTTCTTGAGTCCATTTATCTCATCGATACAAACTTTTTTTGTTGTTGTTGTTGAGGAAACGTTTCATCTCTAAAACTTTTCATCTGGCAAATTGATCAATGATAACCTACATAATACTAGAGCAAGTTCAGACACAGATTAACCACAATGAAGAATATAATAATCAGAAATGAAGACGAAAAATAATCAAATCAATGAAAAGCAGTTTCTTTTCATTTCGTAGTATGAAAGTAAGATAGTACAATGATCATAACTTTTTGATTAGTGAAAGGTATTTTACTGATGTGCAGCGAAGTGCTGTGAGGGTATACAGGGGGGATAGCCACATTACAAGAAAATAAGAAACAAGCTCAAAAAATCAATCATGGCTTTCGTTTGCAATTGCCAAGTTACACCATAAAAAACAAAAGAGAAATGCATCCATACTTGATGCTAATTACTTATTTCCTCCTGCTTTCAGATATTCTTGAGTTCCCTGCAAATGAATCACAACGACCATAACTTTGTCCCACTTAGTCAAACTTTACGGAAAAATCAAACTCATAGAAACACCAGCTTCAGTAGCCAATTGAATATTATTGTTAAGATAAAAACGGATGATATAACAACTAGCCTTAGGGTCACATCAGAATTGGATTTCACTTGGATGACCAACTTACAGCACTACAAAGCAGAGGAAGGGTAATGATTAACAACACTGGGCAGCCAATTCTGAAAGAATGAAACAGCATCTAGCTCTGCTGGAGACAAGCCGCCAAGGGGTGTGACAGTAATCTGTGATAAATGACAGTGAAAATAACAATCATAGGTCTTTCTCATTGAAGAACTAACAACCATATAAAACAATAGTACATACGTATCCTTCTTGAAGAGAACAGTAGTCTGTATCACCATTCCCCACTAGAATTCTTGTAACCTAGAAAGGGAAGAGTAATATCAATAAATTACTCCATTAAAACCTGTATAAATTACTTTTCTATATTTCTTATTTAACTCTCAAAGAAGTAGGAACAAACGAAAATCCGGTGTGTCATACAAAAACAGAGTGGAATCTTTCAAAGGGATATTTTAGTGAAGTTACTATTTACAAAGGTTGTCTGGTTATTTTTAATAAGGAACAGTTGCCTGGTGTATTTGTTGTAAGGGTCCCCACTGTGAGATAAGGATACAGCAATGGAGCAAGCACCTATAGTGAAAGGGATCATACTCGTCTCTTAAACAGTAGATGATCCAATGGTGCATTTTTTAAGGCTCTAGCATGTGTACTTTCTGATGAATTCGTCTCCATAGTCATTGTGGACAAAACGTTTCCTCCTTCTCTTTCAGAAGTAACTTGCCTCCATCCCATTTTCACAAAACTTTTTCCTTGTCGGGTTAGACGGTATCCCTACGAAAACCAAGATAAACCTTTTGATCAAATAGTTACGGGTCACTGATAACAATTTGTACATTAAAGAATTCAAGTTTGATGATCCACCTTTCATCAAAGGAAAACTCAAAGTAAAAATAGACAAGTGTTCAAAAGTAAGTCGAGCCAAGCACATTATGATGGCTTGAAAAAGTTTGTCTTATAACTTGTACATCGAACAAGGAAAACCACAACCCTAGGGAAGCTATTTATTTATAAGTACAATTTAATAGAAATGTATAGCATATAAAGACAACAATGAAGAGACTACTATTCCATTTTTGTTTATACAGAGGAGACATTTGATGCAGTTTGTTCAAAACTACCTTGTCCATCCTTAACTACTTCATTATACAGAGACACGCTTCAGTGACTTGAAATGACTCATCTAGCCAAGCTTCAGCTATCAGTAGAAATCTCAATGAAACAAGAGTCCAACAGTGAGTGAATGAAGCAAAAAAAACCTGACTGCTGACAGGGCCACAAAGAGTTTGCATACATGAAAAGAACATCAAGGTGAAGACCAACTTTTACATGATACTTTTGACAATTATGAAGACGAGTAAATCCCAAGATCTACATTTACATTAAAGTTCCCTTTTCTAGGTGATTGTCTATCCTAAACAACAAAATCAAGCTAGCATAAAATTTACCTTGTGATTGACAACATCTGTTGGCACATCAATATTGAGAAAGCAATTCTTGGGATAGTGATTTGTCTTGATTGCAGCCAATATAGCGCTGATGATGGGTAAGCAAGCTTTAGCAGCCAGTGTGAAGTCATTAACATTGCTTTTTCCACGAATCCTGAATTTAGCAATCCAAAGGAATAAGGAAAAAGGAACAAAGAACAAAACAATGATGCACCAAACAATTGTAGAATTTCTGGAGTGTTCACCAATGCGTACCAATTATATGATACAGACACAGCAGGAATACCACAGAAAAAAGCCTCCCTAGCGCCAGCCACTGTACCCGAGTATACTCTGAAAGGGCACAAACTAATTCACACATAAGCAACTACAAAGTTACATGGTTGTAATATTAGGAAAGTAGCCATAGTTGCTGCTATTCCGTGGGGAATCCCAATATATGTCCTTGATGTTCAGAGTTTCTTTTGATGATAATGGTTCTTTTTCAATTCTATGTGATCTGGGATTAGCTTTTTGACCTTCAGTATTGGAAATGGCTCTGTCCCTATTTATTCAAGGCAAAGTTTTAACATTGCATGGTAAGACTCAGATTGTAAAATTAAGATGAAGTCTAAGAAGCTATAATTCACAGCAACTTTATTAGATCAAGATACCCTAATTTATTCAGCATTTATATTTTTGGACCAGTCACTGCTCCACCTCAGGTATTAAACTTCCTGTCCCGAAGTCAGGTCTGTACCAAAACTCCAAAAGAGCAAAAGAAAGAAAATGACACTATTTGGTACGAGCCATTTAAGTAATCAAACCGAGTTCACTCAGCTGATGGAGCCTCGCCATCTAGGACAATCAATATATTTATTTGTAAAATTACTTTACATTTAACATTTTGACTTTGCTTGAGTTTCAATCATAAAACTAAATTAACTTGAATAAAACATTATTCTTCAATTTTTACATTTAGGAATCATCTAAAAAGCAACAAAATAATGCAGGCTGACTGTGGATTCCACTTGACTATATATATATATGATGTGCTCAATTTTTAAAATAATTATTGTTGGTTGGTACAATACAAAGTTAAAGTTCTTGTGAATAAAGGGATGAGAAGAGTTATTAGACCAAAGATGAAAAACGCAAACTTGGAGAACATAGGATAATAAAAGTCATCTTATTTAGAGTTAATACCTCAAGAAAAACCTAAACTATCCACGTTTTGTTATTTTAATACTTAAACTATGGGGTGTTGTTGTTACCTCCTGAACTATAACATTTTTTATCTAAGAAAACCCTGCAGTGCAAGTGGCATGAAGAGTGGTCTCACTCTCTTTATAGAGTGAGAGCTAAATAATAGGTCAAAAAGAGCATCTAGTGAAGGAAATCTACTAACATGTGATAGCCGCAGTTGTCACCCATATTAACACCACTGATAACCTGAAACCATAAATTAAGATTATTGCTAGAGTGTTCTAACCATTAACTTCTAATTATGCAACGTCCCAAGGAATTGACACCTAAAGCCTGCATGGATAAATTAGTAATCAAGATATAAAGGAGATAGAAAACTAAAGTATTGGGAATTTGGAAAATCTCCCTGTAAGGTGCCAATAACTGAACTCTAAGATGTCATGATGAGGAAAGGGGAAGCACTAACTTAAAAAGGCATTTTAAAGATACAAGCTAAGGGAAAGAGAGTTTTAGTGTATGTCAGGATGCATATTACTGATGTTCTTCTTTTTTCCAAAGAGAAATATAATCAGAAGACTTGTGAGTAGAAGGATTATCTTGGTTGAGAAAAGTTCAACTACCAGATCAGGTACTGAAGGGAAAAGAGCTTTAGAGATTCCCAGGGAAGTACAGTCTGCTGGAGTTCCTGTAAGAAAGAAAAGAAAAAGGAAAAGGAAAGGGAGGTCAACATTCACATCTTCTTCTATTACTTCAAATCAGGTATCTTGAAGGATGACACCTTGAGCAATATCATGCTCTCAGTTGAATTTGACTGACCATTTCTGGTCCAGTATCCCATGACAGATTCCTGCTGAAGAAAGGTTCTAAGAGGACTTGTCAAAGAAAGCTATACTGTCTAAAATCTAAATTACAACTTTCCTAAATTAGATTTCTCTGTCTAAAGTCAAAAGATTATGTCCATCAGTATAACATCTATTCTAATAGAAAATAAATAGAATGCCAAATTATGTGGCATAATCTCATAAAACCTCAAGTATTCCAGAAAGAAAAGAGTTTTTCATAATTCATATATAAAGCCAGTAAGATCTCTTCATATATTTGTCACTTCAATTTCCATAATTGTTTGGTATAGAGGTACATTTGATTGACTTGTTTCGTTCAATCCTGAGGACCAACATGCCATAGCAGTAGATAAAACAGAAGGCTGTGGCACTAGAACATTAGAGTTAAATAATCCAATAAACTTAAAGTCAAGCACTCCAAGTCCAGGGTCAGTCCAGAAATCTAAATTAGTAATTTGTTGAAGATAACAACCAACCTGAAACTGCAAACGCTGTTGCTCCGCTGATGTCAACTTGCTTAACAGAAAGGGCATTACGCCAAGTAATGCTATGACTAACAGCTGACTTTTCACTGGAAGTAGTAATAAGCACATAAGAAATAGCATGTCTTAATTACTTAATTCAAAAGTGTATCTGTGCAAACAACAGATTTGGCAACAAACTACAATCTATAAGCATAAGCAATCAACTAAAAGCCAGTTAACTCCCAACTTTAAGATTATCCAACAGTGTAGCTGGACATAAAGCATCCCATGCTTCATCTCTGTAACTTAACAGTATAATAACTTCAATATCCGTCTCTCAATTCAGGAATGTTCCAAAACTTCGATCAATAAAACCATTATACTCACAATTCCACATTGAGCAATTTTAGACAACAGAAACTAAGCTTTAAGTTCACTCTATCCTTTAATATAATAACTTCAATATCCGTCTCTCAATTCAGGAATGTTCCAAAACTACGATCAATAAAACCATTATACATCACAATTCCACATTGAGCAATTTTAGACAACAGAAACTAAGCTTTAAGTTCAATCTACCCTTTAATCATAAAAAAAGGAAGCACCACAGCCATAGCTAGTCAGATCAATACATACCTAATTCTATGTACCTCTAATATCATGCTTTGTCATCATGCTAAATCACTAAATTTAGGATGGAGTGGTACAACTCCCTAAACGCCAATAAAAGTTTGAATTTCCCTAATACAAGACAAAATTCAAAATTTTCATTGCAAAGTTGAGAATTTAGCAAGTATAACTGTCCATACCGCCCGAAAAAAGGACTTGATCATAGAGACTAAGTTGCACTAGGGAGACAATCGAACTAAGAAAGTAAACTTAAGCTCAACACAATATTTCAAACCTCAGAAGGTGCAATTAGATGCAGAAGACTGATAGTGTGTGTGAGAGAGAGATCATACGAGTCAGGAGCACAAACGAGGACGTAAAAGCGATTGGTGGAAACAAGCAGACTAACTAGAGCTCTCAATCCCGGCGCATCGATTCCATCGTCGTTCGTCACTAACACCGTCGGCCGATCGCCGGCGACGAAACTAGCCTCCATTTCGCTCCCCGAAGTTTTCGGTTCAGTTGGAATGCAAATTTTTAATTATTTTTTTCTCTTCTATGTAAGAGTCTGCAAAAGGCTGATTTACTTAAATAGCCCCTTTGTGGATAATGATTATATTTTGGCCCATTTTGGAATACAAATATATTGTTTAGTAAAAATTACTTAATTAGATGTATTTATATTTGAGCTTATCCCACTAGAGAAGAAGAATAGGAAAGAAAAGAGAGATAAAGTTGGTTCGATTGCTTCAAAATGTCTCTAATATTCTTATTAAATATACGATTATCATTATTTTTAATAATTCTCATCTCTTTTTTTTTTCGCTTCGACTTTTTTCCAGAATTAGGATGAAAGTTGATCTCATCAAGTATTCTATTGATTTTTAACGGTTATATAATGTGAAGATATTCCACAAATCAATCATAGAAAATTTATATCTGTCATAGCAACAATTTTAACATTTTGAGATAGTTTACGAATTTAGGCTATGTTTTAAACATCACCACTAAAGTGGTTATCTGATGTCAATCTACATGAAGAGACTACTTTTGTGTTTCTGAATGAAACCAAGGCCCAATGTAACAAAGATGGGAAAGGCCCAAAAGTGAAATTTGGCCTTTCTTTCTTTTCCATCTTTTAATATTTTTCGACTTTCATACCACAACAACAACGTATCCAGTATAATCTCATGAGTGGATTTTAGAGAGGATTATGTGTCTTGCCCCTACCTTACGAGGATAGATATGTTGTTATTTTTTAACCGACTCAAGTAGAGCATATCCAAAATAGTATTAAAAAAAATAAAGAAGTGAAGAAATTATGTAAGAAATAATTGGGGGAGGGGGTAAAGAAAATAACATGTACTAATTTATTCAACTTTAGCCGTTTTCAATTTAGATGGCAATGTTTAATTAATTAATCTAATACTAATTTAACCTATATACTCTAATAGTGGTGATATTAGTAAAGTTAATGGTTGAAAATTAGTTAATTACAAAAAAAATTACAACAAAATTCTATCTTGGTCGTGTAAGCTGACAAATAATTTGGGATAATCTTTTATAGTATGGAAGACAACTAATATGAAAGTTGGGGCGGAAGGAATACTTGTCAATTTACAAATTCAAGATAGAACTAACTGCATTTTTTCCATTTTATTTTTGCAATTAATTCTTTTTTGAACGTGTAAATAAGTTTGTAAAGTTCCAAAAAAATTTCTTAAAAGATAAATTAGTAAAATTATCATTTCTATTTAAGATTTCTGGAGAATATAAAGAGAAAAGTGGACAACTAATATGATATGAGAAATATATATGGCATGTGATTAACCAGGTTACCAGTATTACAATAAACAATTAAACGGATAATGATGTAGTACGGATGAACAGTAAGTACGGATTTTGACCTTAATTAGTATATAGTCATATACATATAATATCAAACACTTTGACAAGTTCTAGATAAATACACAAAGTGTCATGATTAAGTATAACATATGTCACGGATCCATGTTTCCTTGTATTAATTTTCCCTAATGTTGTCAAAATTACTTTATTTGTTGTTTATTGAAAATTACCCTTCATCGAAATAAAATAAATTAAATTAATTTCATAGATATTACTATGCTAAGTATATTATCGACCAGATCTATACTAATTAATTACTTATTAATATATATAGAGTGTTTGATTTAAGATTGCGATATTGAAGAGTTTCTTATTTTATTTTCTTAAATTTTGTGTCAAGTTAAAATAAGACAAACAAATTAAACAAAGAGGAATTTTTTTAGACCTTATAGTTTGGTGTGAAACAAGTTATGTTGATAGCAATTATATTGAGATTCTTTCTATTCGATTTGTTGTGTTAAGATTAACATACATTACATAATTTATCAAAAAAATTCGTCTGCTTACAAAAATTATCCTCCATCTTAATAGTTTAAGGAGGTACTTTAGGAGTATTTTCTCATTTTTCATGATTAATAACTTCAAGTTCAAATAGAAGTCACATGTTAATTCATAAAATGATTAATTAATGAACATAGTGCATTTTCTTCACCTAGTTAATTACGTTCATAAGTCAAGATCATATGCTTCGAATAGACTCAATTGATGAGTCATAAAATTGATGGGATATATAATAATATTTTATGGTATAGTTTTAGGTAGATATTATGTTGAAACTCTCACAACAACCTTTTAACCCTCATATAAATGATATCACATTCGGATAATATTATTAAGAAAAGATTACCTAATGTAATTGATATGCTTCATAATTCTATTTTATATTATATTGGCAATACTTTTAGACAAAATTTACATGGATAATGATAGAGCGGCCGATGAGATGATAGGGAGGTGGAGATAATTAGCGTAACACATCACTTGTTTTTTATACTTTCGTCATGGAAGTTATTTATCGTTGAATTTTTTTTTTCAATATTTTGGTTGATTGTCTTGATTATTGTCATGTAAAAACATGGGGTCATGTTCGTTACATTTGCTCCATATCTACAAGCTAAATCCCATGTGTAATGCTTCCAAAAATAAAGTACATTTTTTTAGTCGAAAGGTAGCAATTTTATTTTCAAGTACTTATAAGTACCTTGTGGCTCTTGGTGAAAAAATAATAAATTGTGTACCTAAAATTAGGTATGATATTTATTGAAGGATTTTGTTAGGTTTGTTTTAATTTTGATGAATTATATAGGGTTGTCCATAGTCTACTAATTTATAGGCATGATGGTATTGGTCTTATGTAACCGACAATATTTTACAAATATCTCAGTTGATATGAAATTATTTAAATTTGAGAAGTGAAATACAAATTTTATGGTCATCGAGGGGATAAAAATTAAAGATCAACAATTTTAAGGGGCAAAAATTAAAAATTAATACTCCAAAATAAGGATATCAGTGTGAATGAGCCATTTAAAAAACGTTTAGGAATTGTTATCGGATTCACACAAAAAATAAATTAGATGGACTAGTTTTTTTCTAGAACAAAAAACTCTAACCTTATGCATAGCCTCAAGTCGTTACGTGTTTAGGGGTTTGTTCTATCTTAAGCATCAAGAACTGTCAACTTTCGCGACTTTTTAAGGTATTTTAACGTAATTGGAGTCACATGATCAATAATAATTTATATTTGCTAGATTAATCTATCTATCGACTAATAAAAATCGTAATATCTAACACAATAAATAGATTTATTGTATCACCATGATTGTATGGGATTTCACCCACCCCTAAAATTAGGACACATATACTTAAATATCATGTCACTTCACTTACAAGATGTGGATTCAAACTCTCCTAAGAAAGCAAAAATCACAAACTTCTTTTTTGGTCAAATAATTGTATAAACAAACAAGAAAACAAACTTGGTGTTATATGGGGTTCAATGTATCCTACCTCCCAAACCACCACACAATATGAGATAGGAATTAAAATGAACATTTAATAATCATCACTAACCAAAAGTATCACTTTCAATTTGTTTTCTAGTTTTATTATTTATTTTTATTTGACATATGTATGGTGGTTTGTTTGATTAATAGTTATTTTACTATTAACAATAAATTTCTTGTGTCCATTGCAAAAAGTACTTGTCCGTATTGAGATGCACTACTTTTTAAAAAAAATTATTTAAAGAAGTACTGAAAGATGGTAGACCATTCTGCTGATTTTTTTAGACATTTGCACCCCACATACTTTTCTTTGAATTTTACAGTCAAAGACAAGTACTTGAAACTGTTTTTTATGAAGACGATTTGTAGTAAAACGTACGAAAATGTCAACTATTCATATGTGCAAAATTCATGATGGTGCTTTTCTAATTGAGAGAAAAAAATACGTACGAATTTAACTAGTAAAAAAAGTTTGAGATTGTTAACTTATATATATGACTTAAAAGGTTTTTTTTTTAAAAGTAGGAATTTTTTTTGTGATAAAAAGGTATCGTTCAAATTTAAAATTTTTATCGAGTGGTGGTAATTAGACCGGCATTATTGTATGCGATTGAGTGTTGGTCAGTTAAGAACTTTCATGTATAGAAGATTCATGTTGCGGAGATGAGTATGTTGAGGTGGATGTGTGATCATACTAGATTAGAAATGAAGGTATCCGGGATAAGGTGGTCGGTGGTGGACAAGATGAGGAAAGCAGGACTGAGATGGTTTGGACATGTGAAGAGGAGGTGCATTGACGCACTAGTGAGAAGGTGCAACGATAGGTTGGTTATAGAAGATATGAGGAGAGACAGAGGTAGGCCGAAGAAGTATAATGGGGAAAGGTAATAAGATAGGATATGACACAACCGAGGACATGACCCTAGATAAGAGAGTGTGGAGGACACGTATTAGAGTAGAAGGCTAGTAGAAAGTGTAGTGCTATCTTGCTCACCAAAATTTAGATGAACGGAAATAAACCACTTCTCAAATTTAATCACAATACATTAAATAAAAAAGAGTCCAGAGCCAAAAGGGCAAAAAAACTTGCCAAAAATTTCGAAAGGGCACGTCATATTTTTTTAAAACCAAAAGGGCAAAATCGCTATTGACAAAGCGATTTCCCTTTAACACATATGAACGCCGTTTATTCCGTTAAAATTAAAAATTGCTGCCCGAGCAGCGATTTTCTCCGAAGATTTTTTTTTTTTGCTAATATCGCTGCTATGGCAGCATTTTCATAGAAATTTTTTCATGAAAATCGCTGCTTTGGCAGTTTTTTTATTAAAAAAAAATTTAAAAAAATCGCTACCCCTGACAGCGTTTTACTTAAAAAAAAATTAAAAATTGTTTCACCGATTTAATTTATTTATTTTTTAAATCGCTACCCGTGGAGTGATTTTCAATCTAATTTTAATTTTTAAAATAATTTTTTTTATAAAAAGGAAAAAAAAATTGGACAAAATCACTGGTAGGTCAGCAATTTTAATTTTTTAACGGAGTAACGGCGTCAGTTGCCCTTTTGGTTAAAAATTTTTTGATGTGCCCTTTTGAATTTTTTATCAATTTTTTTACCCTTTAGACTCCGAA